CTGAAATTTTCAGAGAGGCTTAAAATTGTTTTCCTTGTGCATGATTTCTCTATAATGAACCCACAATATTCCACATATTATATTAGATTGTCCCGAAAGTTTTGTCCGTTTTTTTTAATCTATCATAAAAATGCGTGGAACGAAGATAGGGAAACGCTCTAAGCACTATCCAACGCATATTTTCCTTCTCTTTCTAACTGTCATGCTTCCATGCCGATTAATCTTTTGTTCACTGAGATAAACTCCGAAATTTCGAACCCATGGTTTTTACTATGTCCAAGTTTGGCAATTTTTCACAATCTTTATTTTTGACTTTGGCAACAGTTAGATAGAGCAAAGAAAGGGCAATATAACGCAATTTTGCGGCATCTATAGGCAGCCTTGAAAATTTTTTAGAATTATTTTTTGATGCTATCAAATTCCATTTTCGGTGATGCCAAAAGCCAGAGATCATGAAACGGCGCACAACTAAGGTGTTATTCGATGCAGATTTTCCTTCTCTTTCCAGTGAGTGTATTTTCTCTCCAATTTGCGGGGTCCTTGGCGATAAAATTTTCATAATTCTTGAATTTGACCCCACCCCAGCGTGTACACGTAAAATGCAAAATATTATGTTTCGAAGCGGTAAACGCTCATTTGCTTCGTAAAAATAGTGAATAATCGCAATCGGTTTTTGAAAGCTTCAAAGTCCGATGATTTGTTAGTGTTCGAGGCGTTTCTGTATTTTAGAACTTCGCAAAAGTGGAGACTTTTGAAAAAATTATCTTTAAAAATATTGAAAAGCCAGCTAGATATGTCAAATAATTGCATTGCCTTGCTCTTTGCTTACTCTATCTGAGGGCTATCAAAGGTCTTCCAAAAGTTGAAAATGAAGATTGTGAAAAATTATCAAACTTGGACATTGTAAAAACCATGGGATCGAAATTTCGGCGTTTATCTCAGTGAGCAAAAGAGTAATCGGCATGTGGGCTTGACAATCAGAAAGAGGAGGAAGAGATGCGTCGGGTAGTGCTTAGAGCGTTTCCCTATCCTTGTTCCACGTATTTTTATGATAGGTTGAAAAAACGGACAAAACTTTCGGGACAACCTAATAGTTTGAGAATGGGGAAAAATCTTCTGAGGAAGCTTTGAAGATGTAGAGAAACTAATGTGACACCCAATACATTAATCGCCTAACCTACAAAACCATATCTTACTCCACTATCCTTCCCATCCGTTCTCTCTCCCCCCCCCCCCCCCCCCCCACTCCTTTGAAGTTTTCTCTCCTCTTCCCTACTTCCGGATTTACATTGCCAGAAAAATATTTCTGCCTATTGTTTTTTACTGCTGGTTGTTTTGCACAAATTAGCATTCATTTGTTATTCTGACTCTCGCAATAGCAGCTGTGTAGACCCAAAGATGGCACTACTCTTTATGGAAGATGTATGGGGTTGTTGTCATTGTAAAAAACATTTTGTGATCACAACACTCTTCAGCCTGAAACTCGTCTGACTCTGCTTAAAGGAGAAAACAGCCTATTGATTATCTAATACAACTGCAAAAAAATTAAAAGCGGCATTGCTCTTGTACGTTCTTCCTGGCTATTCCACCTTTTGCAATGACAAAACTTCTTATCTTTTTTACAGTCTCCTTATCATGACACATTCTAGCTCAAAATGATTCGATTTGCTGGAAATCGCTGCAGAAATCACATTCTCCCTCTAGTAGTTATGCTAACCCGAGCATTATCCATACTTAAGTATTACCTAATGATGGAATCAGATCAGGCACAGTGCATCCCCTTCTCCCCGTCTAGCTTTCTGGTAAATACTTCATTACAGAAAAAACACGGCAATGCCCTCCATGTTAACTAGAACTTTTTTTCTGTCAAAGATGATTAGAAAATATCGATTGCAAATTTATTTTCTTTTCTTCTTACTGGGCCATCTTCCGCTATGCTACAGACCACGTATAATGTATGTTTCTGGGAAGGATGTTGGCTACAGAGAATGCTTGTTTGTTGGTATTAAATTCATTTTCCTTCTATTTATTTATTTCCTTCTACTTCTATAATCTGAAAAACGAGTTTGTTGGATATCAGAGAAGGAGCTTGTATGATAGTGAATAAGTAGATATTTGGTCTAAAAAGTAGTTTGCACCATTTTTTTAAGAATCTAGCTTTATGATTTGGAAGGATTTGCTTAAGATTGATTTTGTTAGATTGAGAAAATCATCTATTTTTCATCGGTAACTTGTATCTTTTCCTTTAACCAAAGGTTGCTTAGAAAAAATGCAAGAATAAAACTTCAGTTTTGATGTTTCCAAGCACTCAAAAATCTAAATGTGAGCCCAGGCTAAACATAAATATGCTAATCGAGAGTCTCCAAAAAAGGCGTGGATTTTGGGAAAATGCTACACGAGGAAATGGTCTTTGATCTTTCTAGAGAATATAGTTTTCGCATTCAGCAAAAATCTTGCTCAGTTCAGACGAGTTCAGAAAAGCTTTGTCTATAACTGTTTCGTTTCTGTTGCAATGTTTTTAGTTTAATGGGCTAGCTTGAAATATACTAAATATTAGTGATGTTCTTCTTCATTTTTCATCTACAATCTACTTGAAAGAAAACACTGAAGCTATCTTCGCTACATGACCTTCCTCATTTCAATAAATTTGATGCCAAGCAAATCCATGTGAAGGAGGTTACAATTTCCAGAAAAAGTGAGTTTTGAACTAACCTAATGTCTATCTTGAGTTATTTGAAGAATAGTAGACCTCTATATTTATTTAGGGAAAGGCTCATCCAGGAAACTTTTCGCATTTTGATTATCAGTCTCGTCATTGTTTGTCAATTTGAAAGTAACATAGGTCACTAAATCTGCACTTTACGTCTTGCTACGAGTAACGGAATCGTCTCGTTGCTTATGATTCTGACCATTCTCAGTGCCGTAGAAGCTTTCATTTACAAAATTCTTCGAATTGCCATCACGGTGCATTTTGAGCCGATTCATCAGCTTTCACTGACTAATTGCTCCTTATGCATGACTGAAGATCACGCTCGTGCTGCTCTTGATGTCTCAGTGTGACTCATGATTCATGATCTTTCCGTCATCGTCCTTATTTGTCTTGGCACACCCTATCGCTATCGCTTTTTCTTGACTCATTTGTTCTGCACCCGCAGCGGTTACATGCTTCAAAATGCTTCTATGACGATTAAATCTTTCCTGAATTTCCAAATTTCTGATTCCCATAGTTTTCATCAATTTTTACTCTAAGATTGTGATAGCTAAGTATGGAAAAAAGAACAGAACAAAGCAAATCGTCAAGAACATAATTCATTTTTTCTGCAATACAAGCTTCAAATAAAACTCGGCTGGGCCAGTACTATTTTCTGAACACTGTTTCCCGTATGTTGTCATAATTGTCTCCATGTGTAACTGTGACGCGTGCGGCACGCGCTGCGGACGTGACGCCTTTGACGTCATTCGATAACTCACTCAGCATAGGAACCACAGCTCATAGGCGTCAGGTCGCAGCACATGCATATTTGTGGCAGATCCAATCCAAAGAAAGTTGTGCTGGTTTTTCGTAGAACTCGCACAGAAGTAAAATCTTAAAATTGAAGGTATAGTCATGAATTTGAACTCAAAGAATTTGATTAGAGTTTTTTTGAAGTGGAAATATTTTGGAAACGCTAAAAGTATGGCGTGCTGAAGTAAAAAACGAAGAAGAAAAGAAGTAAGAAATGCATCAGAATCATCAAAATCTGCAATCTTCGAAAAATTTCTTAAAAATCGAGAAAACTACAGTTCCGATTGCTATCATCTCAGCGCTTTCGATTCTGGTGTAGCTGTCGAATCAGTAGTGTTCCTAGATTGTGAGATTATTGCTCTTATATTGTGGGCCATAAAATCGCTAAGTTATGCCCTTTCTGGCTATTCACGATAAATCGCAAAACAATTCCCGTGGTAATGTCAGTTTCAGGAAACGTAGAGCCTCCCAAACGCTCTATAAAAACGTTTTACCATTTCATTGCCTATATTTTTCTCTGCTGAAAAAAGGCAGCAAAGAAAAAACGCTCGTGGTTCGTTACACAATGCAACTATTTGAAATCCTAAATACTTTCAACAATATTCTTCTCTAGTGGGATTTTTATGACACCAATTCTACGCTTTAGGTACAACAGAAGTTTTAACTTTTCTATGTTACGAAATCTGTGGAAATTGATCGAAATAAAAAATTGCATTCATAAAGCTTCTTATTTAGTCGTTTCGCTTATTTTGCTTGTAATCTCATCGATTGTACCAGGTATACTTCCGTTTTCCACGTACGTGCATAAGAGAGTGAGTCAAAGTAGTAAGCTTGTAATTGGGAAATTTTTCAAATAATTTTTATATGCATTTTTATTATATAATCAGAAAGTATTCAATAAAAACGTGTAATAACCTTTCGACAAAAGTTTAGGGGAGCTTTTTAGCTTGGGCTAACAGAAATCGACATAATTTTTGATTTCATATATGCTACAAATTTATACCAATAACTTTTCTGTCATCATTTAAAATGATTCGATAAATGTCAAAACTTGATTTGCAATCATTGATTTTGTAGATTTCATAACGCCAAGGTTAGCCCTGTAAAAATTCATTGAGGTACTTTTTATTTGTTTTTATTATTATTTTTTAATTTTTCTTTTGGGCTTTTTTCCAATTTCACTGTCAGAAGCTCACTGTTGGAAGCTCCAAGCCTAAGAATTCCCACCCCCTTCATCTAAAGAAATCCTGTCCTCTGACCTCCTCCCCCCCCCCCTCACCCTCTTCTTTCCTCTCATCCAAAAAAAATCTAACACACCACTACTGTGGCACAGCATGCCATTATTCTAATATGTAGTTTTTTGGAATACTTGGTACGAATGTTTTCGTAGTCATAAGAATCGCGTATTTCCACAATGTGCAGAATTTGACGTTTCGATCACTTTTGGCTCATGTGGATCTATGGTACTGTTTTTAAGCTCAAAACTATGATTTGCAGGGCAACCATGACGATGTATGATATGAAAGAGTTGCCTCATCTGGTAAAACCAGCTACTTTAGTAAGTAAATTTTTTTACCAACGTCTCCTACAATGCTCTATAACTTTGTTCCTCGGTGTGAGTATCTGTTTGAATCTCGTTTTAGATACTCGTTATACTTCAAACAATATTTGTATTTTCTCCTGGATATCGAGGGTTTCAATGGTTTGTCATTATGACTACTATAGTTCAGGTAAGCATCTTAAGTTCATTCTGTTTAGTTTTGGTATACTAATGTTATTTTTTAGTTGATAATTTGCGTATTAGTTTTCTTGGCTATGCTTGCCGATATCACGGCACTGACGGAAGCGCCAATGTGGCCAATGGCGGTATGTACTAATCATATCTGATTAAAATTTAAAACGATTTCGGCTGGTGTATCGAAGTAAAAAAATAATTTTTCTATCAGTAGATTAGGTTGAGGTAAGGTATCATGAAGCAACTTCACAAGGGGAGTTGAAAACTGTTACGCCATCATTTTTATGTTGTTAAACTCTTCCATTTAGGTGGCTTAGACTAATATGCAGAATAGTGTTCATTTTGATGTTTTTGGAGAATTTCAGGCATCAAAATAAATTTTTCAGGAGATGGTCTACAGTGGTGTATTCGCAGTTTTTGAAGCCATAAACTTCTTCTATTTCCTTGTAAATATGTTTGGTCACTTCAACTTTTGGCTGCTACTTGGAGTGGTGAGTACTGAAGTAGCTACGAAGATGATTATTTGAATTTCATATAGATAATTTAATTTGGCAAGAGCAATACGCATTTTTTTTCTTGTCTTCTTTCGTCCTTTTCCTCGCCATGGAGAGTAGACCAACTGAAACAAACGACTGAGCTTAGTACATACTACCTCTCAATCAGTGTCCTAATCCTGGCATACCGGCTCCGCTCGGCCCTGTCAAAACATTTGATAAGATTACCATCCTTATTCCTATATAACCTTTCAGTGCTCACTTCTAAATGCCAATTCCCTATCCCGTTTTGTTTTCGTACTCTGCATGCCTACCTGCTCCTCTGTGCCAACTCCCCCCCCCCCCCCCAGCTCAAACTTTGCGAAAAATCAATTAAACCGATAAAAGTGGTGGACGATATTGAAAACTAATAATGTACTCGTTTGTGATCAGCATGCTCGATTACCCCCTATGTCAACTCTCAGCCCCGTAAGCCAAACTTTGCAAAAACTCGATGAAAATCGAAAAAAAACGACATCGATCGATGACTAAAAGTAGCCTATGACTAGCAGCACATGACACCCGCTCCCCCTCGAGATGTAAATGTGCCAAGTTTGGTGCGGATCGATTCAGAAACAAAAACTTGTATTTGGAACATACTTTCTCTTTTAGAGGCAGTGGCCCGACAGATTGACAATTTGGCGGTAACCATCGTTTTTGACGCCCTGTATGAGCTGAATCTAAAACTGTGCTTTGAAGCCTCTGAAAATTTTAATAACTAGCTTTTCTGAACGTGGCTGCTACTCGAGCAAGAAGCGGAAGCCCCTCCTTCTCAGACAATCAAAGGCTATGGTGAGGCGGCGATAAACAGCAGTTTCAGTGAGCAGGCGGCGTTACTGCAAAAATAGCGGTGAGGACGCAGCGACGGGCTACCAGCGGGCAGTTATAATCTCCTATAAGTCAAAAAATAGCTGCAGAGAGCATTCATTGCTACGAAAGCACCCAGAAGGCGGTGACGAGGCAGCGACTCTGTTAAAACGAACGCCGTCCCGTCGTGCATGGGCGATGCAAAACGTGTGCACCAAACCATTGCGGCGCGGAAAACACCAAAGCGAATTGATACCGATGGTGCATGACTCATGACTTAATCTGGGATGATGTACGATGTGAGAAAGTCGCTTACAAAGGACTTTGAGAAAGCATAAGAAAACGCAATGAAAGGCAAAGATTGACTTTATATAACTATAAGTTTATATAACTAGCTTGTGACTGTTTGTCCTCGCAGTGTATAACGATAGAACAAAATCATAATAAACTTATATATCTGTACGAGTTTTAATCTGGAACAATCAAGTTACTCTTGAATCTACTTCTGTCGGCCTTATCGCCTGACTGTCGCTTCGCAGAGAACCTTAGAAGCCAGCGGGCTACAAATACATATGGCACTGAACGGGGCGCTAAGACTGGCAGAGGGAAGCGGATGCTATAAGGATTTCAGCGGGAAGCGGAAGTGGCGGCGATAGGGGCATGGCGCTTTTTGTAGGTTTTGGCGGTGGCTTTGTGGCTGCCGGCTGAGAGCCTTTGATTATCTGTTTGTAAAATGTCGGCTGCTGGACCCAACAATCCAATTCCCACCGAGATCGATGGTGTCTTTTCCACCCATCCGTACTCCAGAGCCAATCGCTCTCCAAATCAGATAATCGCCGGGGGCAGGCAGCCATGCGATTTATGGGCGGGCGGGCAAATAGTTCGCTGATTTCTTGCGGTCCGCTTGCAGATATTTGGAAGAATTTTAGCGTAATTTTAGACGAATGCTTGAAGAACAATCGCGGTTTCCTTATAGATTAGCTGCGGCGCAGAGACCGTATAGCCCCCAGGTACTTTCCGCTGAAAGAAAGTACCTCAAACTTGAGTAATTAAACCAACGGTGACACCTCTGCCACATAGAGTCTTGCCTGTGCTCGATGTAAACCCGAAATTGCGTAAAAAGAGTCCGATCGCCTGCTGAAAGTTCGGCCAGCGTTTGCTGAAGAGATTATTTAACGACCGCCTGCAGAAAATTCTGTGTTGCTGCCCGCTGGCAGAACATCAGACAGTAAACGAAGTAGCGCTCGCTGAAGGTTTGGCCACGCCCCAAAATTCTGCTGACTGCTTGCAAAAAAGCGCGAGTTTGCGGACCGCCTGCCAGCCGGAGATTATCCGAGTACTTGCACGGCTCTTCACTTTGTTTGATTAAGGATTGCCGTTCCATATTCCATTAGAAGTTTGATATAAATCTTATATGCCCGCTCAAAAATGTCAACATCAGCCCATTTCAGACTGCATGATCAGGAGAGTGGGGGGGGGGGGGAATTTTAGCCTCGCTTGTAATTTCTCATTGAAAACATAATGTCGTCCCCAAAGCAAATCTTCGTTTCCATGCTTTACTTTATATCGGACTTACGAGGAAATCGTCAGAACTTGACCTAGCCATTCCAAACAAGCTGTATATCATCGGACTCATCTTAAAACACTGATTCAAATATGTGTCCTTCATTTTCCAAGCGACTACGTGGGAGGAGTTATGAGCGTTCAAGTATGAGAACTTTCTCGAATATATTTCCTTGAAAGGCAGCCTGATGACCTGGATTTACGATTTACGGTGGCCATGGCTATATTAAATACAAGAAAGAAGCACATTCACAAAAACCTGTATAAGTGTTTCTTGAAACCTGTGTGGAACATGCGCCCAGAATACCTGACAAATCACACATTTAAATTAACCCCTCTCAGATAGTCGCTTGGCAGATTAAATACATCTGTGATCAGTGTTTCTAGACGAGTCCGTTGATATACAGCACAGTTGGTATGGGTCAAGTTGACCTTTTCCAGCTTAGCATGCTAATATAACTGCTAACATAGAGGCATATCTGATTAGCATTATCATTTTCACTTGTAGAAGTTCGTTGTTGATGAGTTTGTAAAACGAATTTCATAGAGTTAAAACTTAGCGACCTTATGATCAAAGTGTATGGTTAAGTTAGATGTAATATAAACCCTATGCTTTTACAGTACATCCTACAGATCAAACATGAGGCATGCTGTCATAATCCCGCCGTTGGTTTATGCATTCCTTCCTCGGTATCAGAACAAAAAACACAGTTTTGTTCCTTTCATTGGTCTAAAACTATTCTGCCAAAAAAGCATTCAACTTCGTCTGTTGCTATCTCAAACAGTGGATCTCTGATTATCACTTTTGCATGACAATGCAAAGCCAGCTGATTATCATCGAGGGTAAATAATTTGCAAGTAAAAAAAGATTTCTCTCTTGAAATTCGCTTCATGGACTTTAGCGATATTCTCAGATCGTTTCCCATGCTGATTTGCGTATTTTGATTTACTTGTTTAGTTGTTCACTTAACAGCCTTTCGAGGCGTTCTGCAATAATCATGCGTTTTTATCCGTATTTATGATTTGTTGTAATCCTCGAAAGATCCCTATATAAAGACCAAAAAGAAAAATGTGAGTGTAAGATGCGGAGGCATGGTTCCATTTTCTGATCTCCAGATCAATCTGAGCACAACGTAGAGTCAAATAACGCGAACCAATTTCTTCCTATAGGGCCGGTCATACCGGTCAGCGATCCATCGCCGCGATGGATGATCGTCGCGACTGGGTGGAAACTAGCGACGAAAACGCGCGACGGATCGCTGATCGCTCGAATAAGGGGGCATACCACCGCGGCGATGTGTGCATTCTCACACTACATCACGTGATACACGCTTGAAGTCACGCTAAAATGCACCTAAGGCAGTTTCGTAGCTGCTATTTTAAACAGTTCTTCACAAGCAGTCTAAGTTATCGAGCAGTAACTTCAGATAGATTCTAAGCTAGAAAACTTTGTCTGTTATTCTTGAAAGACTTGCATAACTCTTAATAGAGCTGTTGGATTTGGTGGAGAAAGCACGCCTTTTTACCGCCTCCCTACCTTTTTAAAGGGGAAATCGAAGGCGACAGAAGCTGTGTTATGGATAATTTGGATATCTGGCCATAATTGAGCATGATATTAGAAATGCGGGTGAGAATCTGCTATGATTCGAACTTTGATGTATGGAAAAGAACAAAAAAAGTTCTGCAGGTCGCTTGTCTTTAATTTTCAAGAAACAAAATGAACTCTCAAAAACAGTCGCAGATTACACGTCATCGTACGAGTCCCTGACCGAAATCTTTGAACCATCCTGGTTCGATGCTGATACCCACAAATGAGACATAAATTCTAATTGTTTTATTCAATCGATTCAATCAGCAAGAGCTCTGGACTGAAAAGAAAAACAGAGGTGAAGTCTAACAAAAAACTTTCCACAAAAAAAACAAATCCGTTAAACAATGGAAAACAATTGCCTGTATCAGAGATCAACATAAAGAAGAGAGAAACTTAGTTCATGACGTCAACATATGAAGTATCAATGCCATATCCGAAATTGACATATCCGAGCACGAATCTACTCTATCAGCAAGTCGTCACAGCTGAAGCTGGGTACAGAGTCGCGGAAGCAGAAAAGTGGCCAAAGCCAAAAGAATCGGCGGATACCTTGCCTTTTAAGACAGCTTGGACCATCAGAACTTTGTTGACCTATAATCAGATGTATCAGATGTAAATCGAAGGAACTGGTTATAGGTATGAAATCGCTCTCCACACACCTCATCGCGGGCGCTTGGAGCGAAAATAAATGTTTACGCTTCTGGTAACGAATGAGGCCGCAATATTTTGGTTTCTAACATTTGGATGTTCTTGTCCTCCAAAAGTTCGCATTCGAAAGTGTGCGCACTCGTGACGCCAAAAAAGTTAATGTTTCACGCTTCCGAGCGAACCAGCTTGAGTGCTGATGTAAGTCTACTGAAAGCGTGCCAAAAATAGCCAATCGACACATCTTGGCGATGACTGGCTGGTTCATTTTTCAGATCGAGAAAGCTTCAGCAAGCGAGTCCATTTGTCTAGCAAATTTTGGAAATTGAAATCAAAATATGGCCGTGCTTGCTGCCTGACAGTTGAGTGCTGATTGTAATATATCAAAAAATATGCATAAATAAAGGCAATTTCGCATAAGGCATGTGGATATCTATACTTCACTTTCCGTTTGAAAATGATAACATGACTCAACTCATAACAACAACTGCAGAAACGCCCACCTTTTCTTTGACGTTATCCAACTGTAATTTCAACAATTTCCTGCCTGCAGATGAATTCACTTTTTCCGATATTTCCGGAACGTACCTGATGCGATAATCATCTTTTGAATAATCACGTCTATAATGAATGGTCTTACTTGATACGCAAATGATGTCTGATCATCTTACCAAATCTTCCTCAAACAAACGCTCAGGATTACATCGGACCATGTTTCTTATATCGAGAGCCAAACCTCTCTGAAAGACTTGAATGCATGAGCAAATGACATTTATAGAAATTAGGTGCATTGAGCTTCCAGTAATTAGATCAAGCAAAACGATAAAACAAAGAGTCTAGTTCGAGGTTTTTTTTGTCAGAAATCGCGATGGCATCATGAAATAGTTATCATCAAAATCAATTGAAAAACTGATTCCAAACAGTTCTTCTTGAGTGCAAAACGAATCTGGGTCGGGAGTAATCGAAATCAATTCGCAGGAACTTTAGAACGCACAGTGCAGGCAAAACTACCATACCAATGCATTTTTTGCTCAAACCTAGATGAAACAGTATATCAGTGCTTAATGCAATACTACTCCTTCTTTGATGTTATGCTATAGCCCTCAACAAGCATTCGAATGACTCCATGATCACAAAGTACCTCTGAGCAATGTAAAATTTGGTGACTGAACCCATAACTCCCGATCAAACCCGTTCTGCACCTAAGGAACGCTGTTTTGGAATCAGCGTTTCAAGCTGATTCAGATTTACCTATCTCTTGTTAGAAGGCCACTGCGACTTCTGACACTTCCCTTGTAAGAAGGCCCTATGCTAGACGGATGGTGACCACAAGAGCAAACCACGAAACACATGGCTCGCAAAAGTGTGTACTTTATTTGGAAAAAAATCGCATTTCCCGTTTTCTGCTTCACAAAGAAATCAATTTCCATTCAAGTCAGATACTCTTCCAAACGTGAAGGCACTAGATAAGCGCATAGTGAATACCTTACATTGACAAGAGAGAAATTCTCGCGTGCGTGCGCGCATTTTTATGCCTGTTTCGATCTTGTCTGCATTTCACTGAAAAGCCTTTGATCAAAGGCTGTAAGGGTCGCCATACTTATCCGTAATACAAACATGGTTCAGATCACAGCTCGGCCCGTGCTGAACACTCGCCACCTAAGTTTGTATCATACGCTCTCACATCAGATTCGTGTGGAGGTGAACTTCTGCCAACTCGAAGCGTGGCGGTTTTTGATAGCGAGAAGTATACGAAAAGTAACACTATAGCGTGGGAAATTACTAGGGAAATCCCGCAATCCACCTTCACACGAATCTAGAAGCCGATCATTCTTTTCCTATACTACCACCCAATCCCACCTCTTCATGTGTAGATAGAATATGAAAAGCGAACGCCACAACAACATGAATCGTAAATCGGACACACATATTTATATTTTTGGGTAAAAAAATGATTAAGAACGCTTGAAAAACAACCAAAAAAGCGAGTGTTGAATTACTTCGGGACAGAGTAAGTTGCTGACTGCGGAGCAAAAGATAAGATAGTAACACAAAGGAATCTAACCTGGAGTTCGTCGAGAAATCCATCGAAGTTCACATTTGAACGCTTGCTTCCTTACCACAAAATTCTTCACATTTCACCAATTTTCAGTGTCGAGCTCGATATTTGACATTTGCGAAACGATTATCCTGAAAGTACTTTTGGTATGATAAAACTGAAATTTTTTCAGTTTGTAGCATCGTTAGCACATAGCAGAGAAATACTTAAAGAAGATCAATGTGTTCTGACAGTGGACTCATTTCCACTATCTATGCAAAAAAACTAGCTACTCAAAGCGAAGAACGATAACAAAATCATTTGGTGAGGAATTACAATCCAAGCGATGCGTCGCGTCGCGCATTTGAAATGAGCGACGCGAATTCGCTAGGATGAGCGACGATCGCGGCGATTTCGCTCAAATCGGTATGGCCGGGTAGAAAACGGCCCGCGATGCATCGCGCCGGACAGCCAGCACAGATACGCAGTTATCTCCGGCCTTGTAACACTTGTCCTTTGGGAAAGTCAGCGACGCGATGGATCGCTGACCGGTATGACCGGCCCTTATGATAGTTTCATAAATGGACGCCTCATGCAGAGTAAAGAAATAAGAAAAGATCAGTATCAATTTTTCAAACATTAATTGGTGGAAGAAGGTTGAAGAATAAACACTGACCTTTCCAGTTTGCATCTGCTCTTTTATGCTTGGTGTGGCTATTCAACGCCTTCCAATGGTGGCGTGCTCGTAATCCAACAATGTCTGGAAATCAAGCCACTGCTGCACCTCCACCCAATTTTGCGCCATCGTATCCTGCCGGTGTCAATCCAGCATAGAGGAGAGGTCGACTATCGATTTCGATCCGCACAATTGCTCCACCTGTGATAGGCCAAACCAATGCCTACCGTATCTTCTCGTACACAATTTCAAAGTTTTATATGTATATTGATAATGTTTTATTGGTTTTTCATGCTTTCTTGAAAAATGAATAATGATGAGATAAATTGCACGATAAGGAAATGTCAATATAGATATCAGTCAAAGTTTGTTGTTCGTGCATCATCTAAGCTGGCTCGAAATTTCCAGAAGAACACACAGAAGAAAACGAAAGCAAGCACTATCACAGCAATATAGTTGTATTGTAGAAGTTGACGTGCGCTTGTGTGACTGAAGAACTCGTCCTAAATCAGGTGGTCTTTTTGTATTGAAAAGGTGTCATAAGGAACCAACCATCTTTGATTCGTCGTGCATATTTCTTCCTAGGAAAATTTCACATATTTGGCAAAAAGTCGCACGTTGATTGCGGGAGAGTTGGCTCCGTCTCACGCTTTCACAACAACCACATAAAGTTTGCGCACAAGAAATAACAATAAAAATTCAATATTCTACTCTATTCTTGTGAATAAAAAAACCAGAGACTAATTTCAAATTGTCAGGTATATGGCCGCATCTCACGCAATTTGGAAATGCGCTTGTTTAAAAACCCTAAGAAAATCCGATGCAGTATTTGCTAATCGTTTTGGAAAGTAAACATTTCTTGATGGAAATATCGTTTGCAGCACTTCTACGTAACTGTGCACATTTATTCAATGTAAACCAGCTGTCCCCTGATTTCTTCCATGTATCATTTCGTGGGACGATACCATCCTTTGCTTCTTCGAGTAAGACATGACGGGAGCGCTCTTTCCTTCTTAAAGTCATTGCCCTGTTTGGAAGTAATTGTATCCTGTCTTCGCAGCTTCAGTCATCATCAAAATGCTGTAAAACTGAGTATAATAGAGCAAGTTCATAAAGCACGTCAAATTGTTCATAGAAATTGAAGACACAGACAAATGTTAGCTTACTTATATATTGATTGTATTTATTATGTTCGCATTTTTGCCTATTAGGGACTGTAATGCTTCTAGCCGATTCGTCAACAAATCCTGACGGTAAACCTCTACCTTTGAGGGAAAAGTCTACCCCAGAAAGCGACTAACCCTCACTATAAAGCACAAGGTATGCTTGACATTAATCTTAGGGTTAAAATCTGCTTCAGGATTTGCTTTGAATAGCGTACTTTATCAGCAAGGGTAGGCTTTCCCCTCGAGGTTTGTTGGCGAATACGGCCAGTAATTGAAACTAACACGATGCAATGTGATCATCATGGTCATCTCGACACCATGCTCATCTTCTCTACCTTTATTTTTATTTTCGCACTCTGAATGTGTCCTTTGAACTATAAAATACTGTTGTATAGGGCCAGTTGTCCCAACATTTGAAGATATAAATGCTAGATACGGGAAAGAACCTTTTGACGACCTCCTAGTACACTGGAGAGCAAAAAAAAGCATATGTTTCATTTTGAACCCAAATTGGTGTGAGACGCAGAGTTGAAAAAGTACTTCCTTTGGGAAATTTTACCCTCAAGGGTAGGGGGCTTTTTTATGCTAAGGCGCGATGGTTTCACACGTTAGAAGGAGTAAGAAAATTGCTAGGACACACTATCCTAGAAACAGTTAATAACAGATGATAATGAATTTGAAAATGAATGGCCGGAGAATAAATTACAAATTTGGTATAGTGCAATAAAAGCTCATATATGATGAGAGTGATTGTAGATAAATTGGGGTAGAGGACAGTAGACCATCGATAGGGCTTAGCCATCTTTATGCATGTGTGCTTACGCTGCCTACATAAAATTTCGTAGCCATCCGGCTCAAACTCACTGAACAACAAATGAGGGTTCACATTGTTCCCGATGTCAAGTGCTACTCCCTTTCTTCTCTTTTGCTCACTCAGTGGCACCTGCAAATAGCATGATCTTCGGGGACGCCGAGCCTATGGCTGCCAAGTCAACCCTATTGACCTCAAAGGTTAAACTCCCTATGCTCTTGCAAAGGGACCTCACGTTTGCCAGGAGACACCTCAAACAATGCCGCACAGTCCTACGATTACTCACACAGTTGAAATACTAAAGCGAAGGACTTTTGAAATGCGGCATTGAATGAATATCAGATGAATTAATGTGGTCGATATGGTCTGCAATTACCAGACATTTGGCTATCGGCTATCTTTTATCAACGAGATCAACGGAAACATAAAAAACAGAACCACCTTCAAGAACTTGTCATGAGAGAAAAGTGATTTTTCCATACACATTATACTTTGGAATATTCGAGAATTTTTTCGAATAATCGAATAACCGAATATATTCGAAAATCAAAAATATCGAATAATCGAATTTCGAATATATTCAAAAACAAAAAATGTCGAATATGCGAATATCGAAATTTTCGAAAAACAAAAATGTCGAATAATTGAATATCGAATATTTTCGAAATAAGAAAATCGTCGAATAATCGAATATCGAATATATTCGAATTGAAGAAAATCCGAATAGACGATTATTTTGCATCGATTATGTCGAATATTCAAACAAATTTTGATCGAATTAGCACAATGAAGGACTCCGTGCAGTGGGCAACTTGGATAATAAACGATGGTTGCTGGTATAGCAGTCAAAATTGTGACGCTGTCATGTAGTTATTCGATTGTACGAAATTGTCGAGTAATCGAATAACTTCTGAAAATATATTAGGTCGTCCCGAAAGTTTTGTCGGTTTTTTCAGACCACTGTAAGACCACGCACAATGAAGATCTGAATGAGCTTTAGCATGTATTCGATGCAGCTTTTCCTTCTCTTTCTTATGGTTACATCTAGGAGCCAAAATCCTGTATGGTTTTTTTGATAATTGCTGAAATTCTTCACCCGTCATTTTTGTCTGCTCAAAGTTCGGCTAATTTTTGAAAATTTCATTTGAAAGTTTCGGAAAGGGTTAAGTAAGGATCAAATAGAGCAATTCTTGGACTACAAGATGATACTTCTAGATTCCACTAATCTGCTGATTTTCGCTTCAAAAAATTATTTCTTCGGAGGTCTCGATTTTTGGCAAAGTCATGAAACAGGCAACTACAGCAGAAACATGAAAACTTCCGAAGTTTCTGCGAATTGTAACATGTTTTTTACTGAACACTATTTATGAAACATTAACCAGTTTGACTTGCTTCAAAAAAGCAGCTTTTTAGAATTTTCGGTACTTTTACGTAGCAAACGTAATCAAAAAGCCGCGGATTTATTGAATAAATAATCATAACGGACTTGTAAGCGTGACCCACGTAATCTAAAATGGGTACAATGTAGCCAAAGCTTTGCTATACATAACAGTTACCAGCGCTCCTTAGAAGTGTCAGGATAGAAATTTAAATTCAGGAAAGGTTTGGCGTTACTGTTGAGCTGCTCAAAAAGCCATGACGATAACACTGCAAAGACAGGGTAGGTCAGAGAGCAAATAAAACTGTAAGAAAGAGGATGAAAATCTAAATCAAATGGTACCTAGAACGTTTATGGACTGGTGTTCTGTGAGTTTTAGTGAGCGATGAAAAAAACCGACAAAACTTTCTGGACAACTTAATATATATTCGAATGTTCGAATATTTTCGAAAATCAAATTTTTCAAATAACCGAATAATCGAATAAATTCGCAATTGACAAATTTCGAATAAGCGAATATCGAATATATTCGAGATTTTAAAATTTTCGAATAATCGAATTTCGAATAAAATTTATTCGAAGATTTATTCGAATACTCGAATATTTATTCGATTCGGTCCAAAGTATAATACACATGGGCACCATTCAATTCAAAGAAAATTAGAATTTATTTCAACAAATGTGATTATGGTTCACTTTGAGGCTAGTGTTACGCTCCATTTTCCATGCATTATAAAAGTAGAGCGTTTTCCTTCCGATCATCGCTTGCCCAAACGGGGTGGGAAGCCGCTTTTTTGCTGACCGAGACGCGTGCACTAGGGAAACCACGAGAAAATGTGATTATTCGTTTTCTTTCTTCATAGAGTCCATTTGTCCAACAATGAAGAAATTCTGACATGCAACGATTATGTTGCCAAATAGCGTCGTATTGTTTCTGCGAGTCCATTAAGTAGGCGATTGTAGTGTGGGCGGAATGCGGCGGTGAGTCATCTTTGACCAGGTCCTAGTTAGCTTGATCTATTTCTGGCGAGGAACACGCCAAAAAAGATTTTCCTCTTTGTAAGCAATCGGTACGGTTTGATGGATACGTTGACGTTTTATTCATCAGCATACGGTCACAACTGTAGTAGCAGTACAAGAAGGCAAACAAAGACGACAATGGAGTAACCGGGGCACGTAGATCAGCGATTTATGGGTCAGCAACATGAATAATATCAAATCAGGGTGGGTGAAGGCGGGGGCAAGTTGCTCCGTCATAAAACAAAATATAATAACCGGATCGAAGGAACGGGATGGTGTAAATTACACTACCGCAGTTGGATGTCAACAGAAATCGGCTTGAGTTCAAAATATCCATTGTTCAACATAGCTATGGGATGGGGTACAGCGGATACCGACCAATCGCTGGCGGGGCAAATATCGATTGTGTATATATACTAGCGACCTGTAGCAAGTGGATTGGGGCAGACACAGCGGTTGCCTGAAACTATCTATGCCTAAACTAACTGTCATTTTTTCTAAATTTACCTGATACAGTGCTGACCAAAAGTTTGCGCCACCTTGTGATTTTGTTATATCTTGCTTTTTTCTAAAAGAATGAGTACAAGTTTTGATATCACTCACACTGCTCAACACTATGTCAAAATTTTTTTGAAGTTTCATGCACACAGAAGGAGGTTTTGGGGAAAACGGCAAAATCGAGGTTGGTCAAAACTTGCAGCCACTTTCTATTAGAAGTCTCCGAAAAAATGTGACCTCCCAGTATCTGGGCTACAGATGCACACCTAAACCTCAAGATATGCAGTGTACAGCGTTCATCAAACTCCAAAATAGGAGACTTCACGGGGCAAATTTGTTTTAACATCAAATGACGCAAAGATTGGACAAGCCAGTAGATTCTTGAGAAGTAATTGGCTGATTCATGCTTCTGTGGAAATGCTGTACCATCCGGACGTTTAGTGGTGGTTTGCGAATGTGACAAAAAGAG